TTAATTAAATATATTCTATATTATTAGTAAATCATTAAATTAATAAATTAAATAAAATAACATAAAAAAATAATAAAGCATTAATATAAATAGTATTTATAAATACATATTTAATAAAATTAAATGGCAACTTAAATAAAAAAACAATTTATAAAACCTAAATATTAAATATAATATAAAAAAATTCATAATTAAAAAGACATTATTCTATTTATTATATTTAGTATTATGATAGTAAAATAATATTAAATTAAGTGCCTAAAAAAAATACTACCACAAATAAATACAAAAATTAAATTTCAAATTAATATTAATTTTTCATTAAATTAAATTTGAATTAAACTAAAAAAAACTATTTACAAATATGAAAGCTTTGATTAATATTAATATTTAATATAATAATTATATAATAAAATAATTTACATAAAGAGGTTTTCGAACAGAAGTGAAACAACAACAAAAATTTATTTTTTAAATTATTTTAATTAATTAAATTTTTGGCTGACCATACAGCTGTTTCGGGTATTGCCAAATACCCTTCATCAGTGGTCTTGGAATAATTCTTGTATTTAATTATTCGTAAATAATTATTTTTGAGACTGCAAGTACCAGGAATCGAACTCGGGTCCTGCTAATAATATAATTATAAATATTGAAATGAATCATGACTATTATTACTTGTGCATTGTTTAAGATTATCTTTTTATTACTCTTGATTATAAAATAAATTAAGATAGTCCTTAATTTTATTTAAGGCACAAATCTTTAAAAATTAATACATTTTAGAAATATCGGTGAGGATCTCAATTTTTTATATGTAATTGTTTTTTTTTTGTCCAGACTTCTATTATTTTTTAATAATAGATAATATTCTTATTATTAATTATACTAAAATAAATAAAAAAACACTTATTTTAATTTTTAATATTAAATATATTAATTATTAATTTTATTATATTATATATAAATGATAAAAATTAATTATTTCTGCTCTTAAAAACTAGTTTTCCTGAATATTCTTCATAACTTAGTCTAACAACTTTATATATCGAAAATTACTTAAGTAAGAGTCTTAGAAAAAAATTGAGAACTCATATTATGTTTATTATTATATTATGTTAGTATATTATGCTAAATTTTATATTAAACTTATTGTCGAAAGTGTGAAGACCAATCGAATATTTTATTCGTTTATTCTGCTAATGGACCCTATTTTCTCATTGCAAAATTTTATATTTTGCGATGAATTGTTTTTCTAACTAGCAGATGTAGCCCTCACCTATTATAAGTTTTTGTATAACATATATTATATTATTTGAATAGCTTGAAAACGGGCCCAAGTGTGTCGAACTGGAAGAGGGCTATGTTGGAAAATAATGTAAATCAATAAAATATGTGCACTTTACTATACATATTATGCTAATAATAATTTTATTTCATTTATTTATTATTATTATTAGTATTATTTATTATTATTGATTTAAATTATTATTAACACAAAAACCAAATATGATGAAAAACACAAGTAATCATCCAAATATATTATGCTTATTACATATTATTACATTATATTTATTATAATAATTATAATCAATAAGAACAAATAATATTTATAATAATAATAAATTATTATTATTATAATAATGAATAAATGGAGACATGCAAGCCTCGAAATAAATTATTATTGATTTTAATTATTATTGAAGTTTTTTTATGATTTTTTTTTTTGTTCAATTAAATTCAAATCTTTATATCTTTTTATATTCATTAAGATAAAATCACTTTCAACTTTTAAATTATTAAATTGTTTTAGGTAATTTATGCAAATATCCTCGTCCCTTATTTTAGAAAGCTTTTAAAATAAAATGTCAATAAAAATCGCAGAAAAATAAATAAATCTGACAAATGACTATAGCTTTCAAGGGCCAACATATTTGAACATATGCAATAATTTTCTCTTATTTTGCAATAAATTTAAATTCAATTAGTACAATACAGTTTTTTTATTTTAATTTCAAATTTAATTCAATTTAATTCATCTGATTTAAACTTTTGCAAATATATATTTATGTTAGCAGCTTTAACATTTGTTTTGTGATATCAAATGCGCCATTGTCTAATCAAAATAAAATTCCTTGAATTGCTCTTAGTCTTGACACCGTCAACAATAAATTTTATTCGAAGTTCGAACTAACTTAATAATATATATTATATTTTGTTGCAAATTTAAAAGAGGATTAGACAGTAAACACAAGCGCAATTACAAATTTCAAAATATTTATAAATAAATCAAATAGATCACACAAGTATTATAGCATAAGTTAAGGTGCCCCGACTTATGGCTTTGAATATAAAAAAAAAATCTTTAAATATATAGTTTAATTATATATGTATATAATTTATATGCGTATATGACATATAAAGCTGGAGATATATTTTATGAGGTATTTAAAAAATATGACACGACAGTAAGATGATGTGAAAGATATGACAGTAACCAAAATTCATATATAAAAAAATTAGGGTTCCAGCAAAATTTTAATCTTGCATACACGAAAACATTCATGGATTTCTTTCTATATTATTAATGTTAATTTTTAATTTTTATTTATATATTTGTATTATTGTTAATGGTTTTATTATATTTAAAAAAATATGTCATGGAACTTATATTTAATAGAAATGGGATTATTAATAACAATAATTAATTTTTTGACTGTCTATACAACTATTCCGTTAATTGTATTTATATATTTATGAATTTATTTTAATATGTTAAATTAAATAAAAAAACAACAATATATTAAAAGAACATCAAGTTAGAAGATAGGCTTTGGTGCCTAAAACGTGAGTCTGATATTGAAAAATTAGCGGGTTAACTTAACACTTGCAGTTTAAAATTTCTGTACGAATAATTAAATTCAAAAAATTTTTTCAAAATCGGTGATAATATATATTAGAACACCCGAAACAGCTATATAGTCAACCAAAAAATTAAATTAATTGAAAATTAATTAATTGAAATTAATTTGTTGTTGTATTTCATTACCACTCATCGAGTTTTCTTTTATAATAATTTCTTTCTTTTATATTACTTTGAAGAAATTTAATTGGTATTTTTTTTATTATTATTATGCTATTTCAATTTATACTTTAAATAAATTATTTTACGTGTCAGTAAATAAAAAATCTGAAAAGTTATTAATTTAAAGGGTTCCGATTTGCTGTGGAACCCCGCTTAAGTGAAAGTAATTTTAGCATAAAATAATTATATTTCGACGTAGTTTTAGTTAAAATAATTTATGAAATGAATTAATTTAAATATAATTATATTTACTCGGAGGTAAATGCAATAAATAAATATAAAAATAAACATATTTATTTACATATTGACACATAAAATAATTAAA